CTTGGAGACCATTCATTGGAAACTCCTTGATAGAAGCAGTTCGACACGTCCGATCGGATAGACGGACAAATGTCCGGTTTGGTCCGTTTATTCGGGGGATTCCTATGAGTCGGTTTTGCAGGGAATCCGAAAAATATGGAATTGTGCGCTTGGACCATCAAACGTCTGAGCGCCACGAAAATCCCATACTGAAGCGGGAGTTCTGTACGTGGGTTTTGTAATGGCCTTTCTGGATTGCAAACATCCAGTAAAGGTTTGGGAAATTTGAGTTTTCGTGGAAGGCTTTTGCTTTGCCCATTCCATGTAGATAACAAGTCTTTTACAATAGTTATTTCCTGTAGAGATGATTATTTCCTATTAGGCGGATCGGAGATCGCTATGGACGGTGCCTCTGCATGATGGTCGCATGCTGGCACGGCTGGTTGGCAATTATGGCTTGTTTGGCCACAACTTTGTCAATCGGTTTGGACGAAGACAAGCAGTCTGATGTCCGCCAGAACCGATCTCCAACAGTTTCTCACACCAGCGCTCCTGAAGACTGGGTAATGCAACATGTTCCTGAATGAGCTGATTATCAAGACGGGACTGTTTGGAGTCCACGACAAACAAGGCGGCGAGTTCCGTGAAGAACCAAGGGTTAGGTGCAACCAGCTGATGATTGGCCTCAATCTCCCTGCAAAACTCCACAGCCAGTCCATCGACCTCCAGGTTCTTCTGCTCCCACCAAGTCAGTTCCTGAAAGAGAAGGGTCTTGTGAAGGTGACCATACACATGCTGAGGAGACCAGGACACCGACGAGCGAGCGATAGATTCCCGGATGGCGGAGACCAAATCAAACTGCATGTCCGTAAGGGAGAAAGGCGGTCTTCAAAGGCCATTTCAATAGCCGAAAGGCCGTCGCACGCAATCCTCACTCTCGGCCACTGTCGTAGGTTGGGGAACCATTGCTGTAGAAGCCAGTTGACAGCCATGATCCCAGCAAGAAGACCGATGAGTTCACTCCGGTAAGGGCTTTGATCACGAGGAAGGCCCGGCGTCTGACAGCGGATGATGATGCGGTCGGGGCCAGACTTAGTCAAAAGCAGAATAGCCGCAGTTCCAAGAGTGTAAGGGTCTGCCAGAGCTCCCAGTGTTGCCGAGTAGGTCGGACCGTACGTGGCCACTGGTAAGGGGATCGGACGGTGTCATCACGAAGGCCATCCCAGATGGCGCGGCGAATGAAACGTTCATCAGCAGTGGTAATGTCCGACACAGTGCAGACTTGTAGGAACATCCGGCACCAGTTAAGCCAGAGCAGTTTGTCTTGGTCTACTTCCAATTTGAGGAAGAGATTGACCAGGAGCGTGTCATGCTGGTAGCGAAGCGTCAGGGCCGGAGAATCAAATGCAACGTACATGTCCAAGGCCTCGAGTTCCTTCCACACCCGTTTTAACCAAGTATCGGAAGCCAAGATAGCGGTGTTGATGTAGACTTGCTGAAGGATGCCAAAAGACGTGCCCATTTCTAACTGATGGGCCTGGATCGCCTCTTAAACTTGGACTGAGCTTTGGCTATTGTTGGCTCTTGTTTTAGTCGCTCGAATTCCTCCACAATGTGAGGAATGATAGCAGGGACTGTCCAAGGATTAGCAAAGAATTCGGATGCCGCTAGCCACATCCAAGTCAACGGCTCGGTGCGTTGAACAATTAATGTTGGGTCGAACACAAGCGAAAATTCCCAAAAGCGAGGCGACTATTTGTCAGTAGTGATAATGCGTTGGGCCGTTGCGAGAGCAAACACCTCCTGTCTCAAAGCCTTCTTGTAGAGCCTGCAAAACTGTGACACCTTGAGTTTTGGGATGTAGGCAACAAGCGATTGTCCTTGCACTGCGCCATCCTCGGCGGTTTTGGAAGGAGGGGGTTGCTTGCGTTGGCTCCTTGAAGTCGTGGGATCAGGCGGATTGTCCTTGGTTAAAAATCGATCGACAAAGGAGTGGTCGGAATCAGTCAAGTGTTGACCGTGGTGACGGCCTGACCCTTGGCAACTTCAGATGGGAAGAGCGAGCGTCCTTTCATTGCGCCATCCTCGGCGGTTTCTGAAGGGTTTTGCTTGCTGCTGCGCTTGGGAGTCGTGATGGCAGGATTATCCTTGGTCAGAGCAATCGACAACTGAGTGGTCGAATTTGATCGGGTTTTTTCCTCAAGACCTCCCTGACCTTGGTCAGCTACAGTTGTGATCAAATTCGGATCCTTCTCCGGCGGGTTGATGATGTTAGCCTTCATGGTAAAGTAAATTTCTTTCCTGTTTCAGCAACAACAACTGTTTTCCTTTACGTAGAAAACGCGTAGGACTGGTACAGTTCTGTTTTGGTGCTGTGCGTGGAAAAATATTTTCTACCTTTTAGTTTTTGATTTTTGATTTTTGATTTTTATAGGCCCTGAAAGCTCAGTGGAGCAAAAACCAAACTTGCAGGACAGGGGACATAATATCCTGCCATTGAGCTGCATCCAAAGTTGTGAGCGCCATGGGGTACTCCAGCTTCTTCATAATGGTAGTCTTGATAAGTGGTATCACGTCGTACTTGTGCAGGAGATGATATTGTAGTTGCTCGGCCCACTGCTTGGCTTTGCCAATTAGTTGGGCCTCCTGTGCTTTATGATTCTCCAGCGGGGCTAGCATAACCCCTAGAGTACATTCCAACGCGTCCGGCTCTGACCGTCGTAAAGGCTCACTGGCGCTGGAGAGACCCGGGATGTGAAGTTCGAAGTCTGGAGCCACTGAGCTTCAGCGACAGAAATTCCATTGGCCCTGACGTGAGTCCCAAGCAAAGTCAATCAGCCACCAGAAGGACTTCTCAGGGTTGATGGCTCCCCCAGTGGCTCGGATGCCACCAGACCAAAGAGTAGCTGCCGCTTGGACCAATGGACAGATGGGTTCCGCAGAGTGCTGAACCGTGTTCCCTGCTTCAATCACGTCAGTGTCGTGAACAAAGCAAAAGCACTGTGCCGTAACGAGTTTGGACTCCGCTGAAAGTGCTTTGAAACCAAAGCCCATGGCTTCCATCATAGTGATGAGGACTGAGCTGACCGAGATCCAAATGGGTGGCCCGGCACCGTTTCCCTGTCCACATCCTTGGAACGGGACGGCAGAGGGAGGACGAAAACTCTTATCTGAGTCGCCAAAGCCAGTAGGGACCCGATGTGTAGCCATGGACAGCATGTTAAACATGGAGGAGAGAACACGCCAAGTGAGGCCAAATCGAAGCATGGCCACTATGGCCACCCAATAAACCACCCTATCAAAACAAGACTTAGCATCATTTGAAATCCAACCTGCAGCCCGGCGCTGAAGGATTAATAAGTCCCATACCAAGCGCTTGGACAGGGCGAGGTCAGTCGCTTTGTGATGCTTACGAGATCCGCATTGTCCAGCGGGAACTGCGAGGATTGTCTGTAAAGGGACTTGAGGGACAGTCGAGGACACTAGACAATAGAGTTGTAATAGAGATAGGATTGCTATTCTTATTGATGATAGTTCATGAAAATGAGGATTGCTCAGATACACGCAGAGAGTAGTATATAGAATTCGGGAGAAGAACTGAGGTGTCAAATGATCGTGAGAATTACCCAATCAGAGTAAGCCACCGGTCCAATCTATTGGACTCGCAGTGCGATTCGTTTGACCTCAACACTCCCTCTCGATCGAACAGTGAGGTATGTAACATGAATGAAGAGTATGCTTACCATCTGCAGAATAGTTTTCGAATGGCGCGGAACTTGTCCAAGGTAAGTCCCTTCGTGAGAATTTCGGCCTTCTGAGCTTCTGATTGGATATATTCAACCGATATGTTGTTTGTGGAATCCGAAACGTGAGATCGGAACCAGTGATACTTGACAGCATAGTGTTTGGATCTTGGGGTCTATTGTCCAGGCTTGAGGCGAGCAAGTTTGAGAAATCCCATATTGTCTTCCCACACAGTTGTCTTTAGAGAGGTGGCCGTTTCGTTGGATAGCCCGAGTCCTTGAGCTACCGTCTTGAAAACTCTTTGTAGAGGTAAGATATCACGCATTGCCATAGACAGCGCATGGTATTCCGCTTCCATAGTGGCAGTGGCAATGTCTGTTTGTAGTCTTGACACCCAAACCACAGGGCATCCACAGACTGAGATGACGTATCCAGTTCTTGACTTGACGCATGTAGGATCCATAATGTCTTCAACTGAATAAAGACCGGCAAAATCCGCATTGACATGACATTCAATGTCAAATGAATCGGTCGGTCGCAAGATTAGGCCTTCATTTACTGATGATTTCAAATATTGCTCAATTCTGATGAGCGCTTTTTCATGCGAGCGCTTAAACCCGTGGATGAATCGCACACATTGAGACACGGCGAATTGTATGTCCGGACGAGAATGTCCGCAAAGATACAAGGCCATTCCGATCACGCTTGCATATGAGAAACTGCCATTTGCAGGATCTCCATTCTCGTCTTTTCCAAGGGGTTCTTTCAACGCAGGAGTGTGCTTCTGAGGTTCGTGGTCAATATTGAGGGCTTCAATAATAATAACTGAAACATTAATCGATTAAATGCTATCTAGCGCACACGATTGCCGGTGGAATAAGCGGCTGTAAAGGTCAAGTACCGTGAAGCGACGAGTCAACAACTAGTTTGAACCATTGGAGACATCTGGTGGACAGAAGTTGCTCTAGTCAGGATCGAGGGGATCCCAACTCTACCCGCGACAAGGCGGGGTGATTTCGGGGCGTTGATTCCTCGAAACGGGATTAGGGGGCCTGGGCCGGGTGGAAGAAGCGGTGAAGGATACGGCGTTGGGGCGCCAGAGCGCGGCGATAGGCCGTGCGTTCCATTCTAACCAGCTTCAGCCACTCTTCCCTATCGACCAACGGCTTGTTCAACACAGTTCGGCGTTTCACAGCGAGCATGCGTTGAACTACCTTGGGGAGGTCGGTTGGGCCCATATCAAACTGAGAGTGTATACCGTCGTTCACCAATCGGCTACGTTCGCGTAGCTGTACGTTGTCCTCCGAATGTTGCACCAAGTTCCGGTGTTCCCACATATGAAATCCAAGCAAGATCAGCTGATGCGACAGGCGAGAGACCCACAGGGTCGGAGAGCGTTG